GTAAACTTATCTTCTGGGAATTGTGAGAACTTCAGGTAGTCATCATGAGGGGAAAAAATGTGCAGCAGATGATATGGAAGGTTCCACCATGGACATCCCCAACATAACCACATGAACAGAAATGTTTCCTAAAACAACACCATTACTTGAAGGCACCTAGTGGTAGGYGGTTAAAATAGCAGAGATCACTGGAAATGTCTACACTCTTGGCTCTTGTGAATACTGTAAARATTAATGTGTGAAGTGCTTAACACAAAGCCTCAATGTGGCAGGTGTTAATGTTGCTATTAGGCATGATTCCTTATAATTCCTGCATCCATTTCTTCATAGGAGTACCAACTACTTTTCTTAAGGAATTAAACATAATTGTTGAAAATGGTTGTGTTTATGGAAAAATGCACCCCCCCAACATATCCAAAGAGGCTAATGAATTTTATTGAAAGGCAAAAAGAAAAAAAAGTGATAGTTCTGTTCTACTCTTAACAATACTATTCTAAGTCTGTGTAAATACTCGACTAYGGAGCATGCTACAAGTGGTTATGGGAATCAGTCATCAAAGAGGGACCTTTTCTTTCAAGAATCAGCATTCGACCCTGCATTTGCTTATATCTGTGGAAGAACACAGGGTGGGGGGGAGCTTAAAAAAGTTAAAAGCCCTGGGTTTTCCAAGAGTAAGTGTAACTTGCAATCAATTCAAATTGCTATTACTTAGGATATGATTCTAAGCTGTTCACCTCATCTAAAAGCCTTGGCTCGTAATTTTTGACTTTTCCAGATGTCAGGGACAGAAGCAGAAAAAAAAGAAAATTTGTATATGAGCATTCTGAATCCTGAGTCCTTTTCTGAATTATGCCTGATACTCCTGGCAGAGAAAGTTCTACTGAAATGACACAGGCATGGCAAATGTTGGATGCCAGGTTCTTGAAGAAAACATTGCTTCCTGCCCTGGGCAAGGAGGGATTGGGATGTTTGCAATTACTTTGGGAGTTTCAGTTAGTTGTGACTGAATGGTGATGGTGAGGTTTAAAGGGCACAAAGGAAGGGGCTGAATCATCTAAGGACCACACAAATTGGCTAGGTCCAGTGCCATTGGAAATAGATCATGTCTTTATCCCTCCTTAGGGCAAGGGCAATCAGAAATGGAGCATCAGCAATGGACAGTTCTAATAATGGGGATAAATCATAAAAGTTGGAGTACATAGGCAGAAACAAAATTTAGCAAGTTAGGAGTCACACCACACTTAGAATGACTGATTGATTGACTGATAGGCTGATTGATTTAGTTATTTAGGGAAGGAACTCACCCCTCACCCCATCACTTTCTGGTTGTAAGTAGAAGCACTCTGCCTAGAGACAGACCTGCTCTTAACACACTTGGCTACACTGCCACCTATTTAACCCTCTTTGAATCTAGTCACCATTTATAGGAACTACTGGTAACATTGAGTTCTGTTGCCTGGGAGGAAAATTATAATCATACATATTCATACAGAAGATTAGCAGAAAACAGACCTCTTAGAAGCTGAGCATGAGGGAATGAGAGTCGGAAGGTTTGAGGTCTGCAGGGGAATTTAGGAGCTCATCCTTGAGGTGGAACTGAATGCGGGGAAGGGATTGGAGAATAGGAGAGTGGGGCCATCAACAGTGTYACCCCAACCACAGGAGGAGAAACTTGTGAAATACAGAGAAGGCTGAAAGATGCTGAGAGGAAAATAATATATCTTCTTTCATTCTTGGAGTCCAGTGCTTTTCCTGAAAATACATTTGCATTTTATATTCTATTTCATAACAATGAAGATGACTCTCTTAGGATTGAGTCAAAGCTCCAGTAATATGATATAAATGTATGATGTGGTTTCCATTGGAGTCACACATTGTTGCCATACATTTGCTCAATGGACTTTTAAAACATTATTGTCTGACCTTCAGTTCCTGAGTGGAGTTCACTGATTGTTACCAACTTTCCAGTTTCTACTCAAAACTAGGGGCCAAAGCCGGACAAGGGCCACTCTGCAAGGTCCTTCCAGTCAACTCACTAAAAATTAATTTCCAGTTGAGTATATTTTATAAGTGTACTCTCAACATCTTTTTAATGACCCACCCCCATGAAGTTTCTCAGAATCTTTTCTTCCATAAAATGTTAATGCCCAACATAATTTATATATTTAGTTATGCAGCTGTGGTTTTTGCGGGGGGTCACAAATCATTGCATTAAGATCTGGACCCCAGCCCAAACTGATTTTTACTGCCATAGAGAAGCATGCTTTAAAACTCTTGATGATTGTAGCTCTTCCAAAATGATGTTTGTCTCTTATAATTGCTTTTTTTTTTTTTTTTTTGGTACCAGGGATTGAACTCAGTGACACTCCACCAATGAGCCACATCCCCAGCCCTATTTTGTATTTTATTTATTTAGAGACAGGGTCTCACCAAGTTGCTTAGTGCTTTGCCATTGCTAAGGCTGGCTTTGAACTAGGGATCCTCCTGTATCAGCCTCCCAAGCTGTTGGGATTACCGATGGGCCACCACACCCAGCATAAYTGCATTCTTTATTTGTAGTTTCCATTTATTTCCTTATCACTTACTTTCCCTAAGTAATTGGAAGTAGAGCTGCGTAGGGCCCACACACAGCAAGAAGCATCAAGGRGTGCTTGTCCTTTCTCCAACACAAATAACTATTCCCCAGAATATGACTACCAGCTTYAGCTGCCAGATCTGAAACATACAATTCAGAGGTGTCTAATTGAAAAAGAAAATAAAGATTTGTTTTTCCTGCTAAGCTTAAGGAGGAGCAGGGTGTGAGGTATATCCCTGTCAGATGTAGAATAAAGATTGATAAAGTAGTTTAGGGGACCTCTCCACTACTGCCAGTGAGATGAAATGAATTACCTAACATGGTTTCTCTGCCATTCTTTCCTGTGCCCATAATCCRACAGCTAGCATATCTATATAAAAGAGGATGTTTTCTGGAAATATTAAGCATATGAGTTGTCACCTGCTARGGCTGCTATAACAAAGTGCTGTAGACTGTGTGGTTTAATCAGCAGAAATATATTTCCTCACAGTTCCAGAGGCTAAAAGTCAAAAAGGAAGGTGTTACAAGCCTTGTCTTTTTGTGAGTCCTCTCCTCTGCAAATAGTTGGCCATCTGTTCCCTGTGTGTTCATGTGGTCTCACCCCTGTGTAAGTCTGTGTCTTAATCTCCTTTTTTTTTATAGGTACACCAATCATATTGGATTAGGGCTCATCCTAATGAATTCATTTTAAGCTAATTACCTCTATGAAGCCCTATCTCCAATACTGTCACATTTTGAGGTACTAGTGGGTTAGGATTTCAACATATGAACATAATTCAGCCCATAATATCATATAAGATGAGGTACAAATAAGACTCTCGTGGGTCACAAATACACAAGTTAAYCAAGATGTTCCTGTTAAATCCCTTCTATGTTTCTCACTGGCTGAATGTCTTCAGCAACTCAGGTAACCTGTGTGACTTCCATTCACTTTCAACATATGATACTCATTCTGTCTCAAAGGATGGTTTTAGGAATTGAGTCTAATTAATTAATAATAGCTAGAACTGATAAGTAAAGCTACAAGTCAAGCATGTAATTGGCTTATAGTAATTGGCTTATAGTAATTGCTCAATAGTCAAGGAGGGACCAGGTATGGTGATACATGCCTGTAATCCCAGTGGCTCGGGAAACTGAGACAGGAGGATCGCAAGTTCAAAGCCAGCCTTAGCAAACTTAGGCCCAAAGCAACTCAGTGAGACCCCCATCTCTAAATAAAATATTAAAAAAGGACTAGGGATACTGGCTCAATGGTTTAGCAACCCTGGGTTCAATCCCCAGTACCAAAAAATAAATAGATAGACAGATAGCTAGGTAGATAGATAGATAGATAGATAGATAGATAGATAGATAGATAGACAGACAGACAGACAGACAGATAGACAGACAAAGCAGTTTCTTTATTACCTATTTCTCTGGAATATGAATCCAGAATACAGTAGACTAGAAGTAATACTCAGAAAACCAATATTATTAACATGAAGAAAGAAAAAAAACTGTTCTTTTATTGAATACCTACACTACAGTCTCCTATGTACTCATATACATAGTAAGCCAAAAGTTTATTTTTTGCATAAGATTTGTAGGTCATTCATTCATTCAACACTATTTTTTTGTGCATCTAATCTGTACCAGGTACAGAAAGCAGTCTTCTCACCTTCTGTATGGCAAGGGCCCTTCTTACTTTCTATACCCAATGTCCTCTATGGTTCCTATAACAGATTAAAGATTCCCTGGCATTAGAGAGTTTCTGCAGAATTCAACAGGGAAATTTTTTWAAAAAAGGAGAAAGGTCTCCAGTTGAACTATGATTCTTGAAGTCTAAATTTGTTCTGCTCTCTTTGGAGCAGTCTTACCTGAGTCCAGGGCTGTCGTGCTGTATCACTCTGCTGGTCCACATTACTAATTCAGCTAATTGCAGCAATTATGTGGAAGAATTGTGCTAGTGAGAGAAACCATTATGCTACTCCCGAACAGACTGCATTCCACAGTGTTCATTAATTATGCCCGTCTACAGATTCACAACCACCAAATCATGCACTAGAGACTGCACACCATATGCACTGAGACCCTTCTGGAGTCACAGTGCATGTCTGTGTTGGATTGATTTTTTTAGTGCCCATCTTCTGCAACAGTCCTTGTCCTGTCCAGATCCTCACCTTTGAAATTAGAGTCAGGATGCATGATGTGATTTACAGAGAAGGGACAGACCTGAGTCTTCTGGAGCCACACAAACTGTCTGAACTATGGAGAAGTTAAAAATTCTCCATCCTGCAGCATGGCCCTCTTTAGAGGAAAGAAACAGCAGTAATGATGGGAGGTGGGATACTATAGCAAATCTTTGATATCTTCATGGATTTTCTTATTTTTCTCTCTCTTCTCTCTCTTTTCTCCCACCCCATCATTTGCCCTTTAACATGAGCAGCCAACCTCAGATGACCTTGTTTCATCTGCTGAATGTTCAAGTGATGATGAAGACTTCGTTGAATGTGAGCCGAGTACAGGTAGGTCAGGTCAGTCTTGTTTTGCTTGCTTTCTTCTTCATTTGCAAAAAAAAATAATAATACATACATATATGTGATTATACATGTGTTTTAAATATAGTACGTTAATGTGTGTATTTTCTATATCTATATATGTATAAACATGCATATATAAATATTCATGTATAAATAAAAGCATCACATCCCATGGAAGGATCCCAGGGAAATTCAAAGTCCATTGACAGATAAAGAAAAATTCCATGGTAGACAACCAAACTTCKGTTGTCAGATGCACAGATTAACCACTGGGACAGGAAATGTATGGCAGCCAGTGTGCAGCTATKAAATTGACAAGGGAGTAAGAGCATGAGGAATTCCATATTGGAATGAGATCAAAGAAGCCTGAACTCAAAGTGGAGCCATGGAAGATTGACAAATATCACTTAAACTTCATGAATTCTTCTGAGCTTAAGTAGCAAAAATAAATAAGTCAAAAGTAAACTAAGCATATTTTTTTTCCATGGGATTTCAACAGCAGTTAACATGGTATTAAATTTATACTAATTTTGTTCATTATATGTCTAGAGAACTTGTACAGCAATATAGTATAGTAAGTACAAAATTAGTACTGAATCATGCCATGTCAACAGCTGCGATGCTTCAAAATGTATCTTCCAAGCCGAAGTTGAGTAGACTTTGGTAATTTTAGATGCTTTAATGTGTACCTCATTTGGACCCAGATACATTTTGATGTTTTATGGTCTTATTTTATAGTGAGATATATATGATATAGTGTCCAATAGGCAACTGCAGACCCTAATTATTTCCTATCAACTTTCCCAAATCGTCTGTTTTGAGACTTACTCTAAATTAAACATTTATATGTATATAATAGAGAACAGATATCATCGAATTTCTGTGTATGTTTAGTAAAATTAAAAGCCTGAGGTTGGATCAGGATCTTATTTCTGCAAAAGCTAAAAGAAAGAAATAAAATTTTCCATTGGTTCTTTGGATTGCTTTAATTTTATTTTCCTTCTCTTTAAGAAAAGGCAAGTCATTGTTATTATTTTTTTTTGTTTTGCTAATTCTAGAGAAATTTAAGTTTCATGAAAAGTAATATGTCAAAAATTAAAATCTTATATTCCTTACCCCAAAATTATTGATTTTAAATTGTGTTGAAGCCTAACTGCTTGGTTTCTTGCAAGTTGCTTTGGATACAGGAAGTTCTGTGGGTTTTATCCTTAGTATTACCCAGGGACATACCAATAATACATTGGCCTTACCATCCTGGAATAATTTGTTCCTTAGCTGTGTGGAGGGAAGACAAATGTGACCTTGTTAGAGTTTTTCAGATTATTGGGTAATAATCTCTATGTGATAACTAAGGTTTTTAACTCTAAAGGGCAGATATATCCAATCCATACGAGATCATGACACCAAAGTTTTGTTCGAAAATTAATTCATCTATTCATTCAATAAATATTTCTGAACAGTAGGCAGGATATAATATATCTCCAGATTAGAGTCCTTCCTATTCCAATACTTTCATGAATGAGCTGTCAGAAAATAAAATAAAGAATTTTGCTATATAAATTACCTCTCCAACATAGTTYAGTTCAACAAATACTTTTTGAAACCTAGCTGTGTCTGTTAGACATGTGCTAGATGTTAAGGACTCAGATATGAATCCAACATTTTCCTCAAAACATACGCAAAATGAACTGACTAGCTAACCAATCGTTGAAGATACTTAGACTTTAATTAGAATTTTCTGTTTGTATCCKTTCTCTGATTTTCTTCCTTTCTTATCAGTGATATGTGTGTAAGCAGCAATGTTTATCCCATCTTTAGAATATAAGCCATAACAATTCAAACTTTGCCATTCTGAAATATTATCACCATCTTCTCCAAAGAACTCCCCCCACCCCTCAAGAAGGTCATCTTCACATGACCCATGTCATCAGAGAGAGAGGGATTTTCCAGATCTCAGGTTCACAAGTTGTACAGTTCTCAGGCTGTGTGTACATAATACTATTTGATATTGAACTTGAATAGGCCCAAACTTGATTGGTCCCAGACTAAGTTCATTTGATTTTTAGTGGCTGTACATGTGTTCCAGCTCATTGAAATGCAGAGAACAAAAATTCAATGCCAGCATTCCTTAAGGAACATGGGACAGTTGGGGAGAGGGAAACAATTTTTAAAATAATCTGTTGAATTCTGCAAGGGAGCACAGGAGGAAATGTATTAMGTGGGGAACCCTGAAAGAGTTAACACGTAGCTCAAATAAATTTATTAATCCCTTCTGCCTGGGATAATTTAATTTATCACGTTTGAAAAAATGAGCACTTTTGTTTCCTAAATTTATTTTTTTCTATACCATATTCCTGGTGAGTGATTTGGACACACACAGAAATACATCAGAAGCATTTTTAATACAGGAGACAAGTATCTCTATTGATGCAGAGACAAGAGGTTTGCCCTAAGGACCAGATTAACACTGGTGAGGGCTACCACTTTAGGATTATCAGGCCTTCTTCTATATCAAATGAAAGCTACCTCCACAGCCTTCCCATTTCTCAAGAACGATATGAATTAAAATCAGAAACATTACCAGTTTTTGGAGGCTCAGTGGGCACTGCCTGCACAACAATGGATCGTGGTGACACTTACCTAACTTTGACATAAATTGTTAAGCCTGAAATTCTATGTGAACGGTGAGATGAAAATTCTGGTCTTATACAGCCTAATTCACTGCTTCAGTTTCTAAAATGTTATTCTCTCCCAGGCTTGTTGCTTGATAGAAATACACTACATTGGCTAATTATTTAGCCCTTTTTCTATCATACTTAACCTAATCTTCTCTCAGTTAACGAGTTTATTATTTTTTGTTTTATTATGAGGTGTTTCAAGTCTACACATAGTTTCCAGATTTATTTAGATTCACTTGAAACCCTCACACTTCATACATTTGGGCAGTTGAGTATATGCTCCAGTTCAATAACTCTTTTCTTATGGACATCAGGTTTTAAATGAAATGATTTTTCTAAATTTGTTTTCCTTACATCAAAATGAACTTTGTTGCTTCTGGTTTTGAGTCAGAGGTAAGCAGTCCCCTTTCATACCTAGAACTCATTTAGGCACTTAGGGATACCCATGGTTTGGTATAGTTTGATTAATTAAATCATGTTTAAGGATAAGTGTTTTTTGGAGCTTAGCTGACATTAGTCTAGAAACCTTATGAATCCAGTAGATGTGTATTTTTTTTCTGGAAAATATGCAAATGAGTTAAAAWTCCTAAACCATGAAAGCAAGACACAGAATTAAAGCTTAATTAAGATTTGTTGACTGAATTAGTTTGACTCTCAAAATATCTCATAATCTCAAATTAAAATTGGAGAACATTTTTTCTATCTCTAACTTCATCTCACCATAAACAGCTAAAATAAAGTCTATTGAATTATTTAATGTCAATGATTTTGTGTAACTAAATGTTGTCCTATCAAAATCTATATTTCTTCCACAAAAATAAATGTTCTTCTCTCTTTTTTCCCTATCCATTTTTCTCCRGGAATTTAATTATTTTAGGAGTCACAGATATGATTGCATTTTTCTGAATATGTGCCTTAAGATTCCAGAATTGAGCCTTTTGACAATAAAACCAAATTAAGCCATCTGCATTCAGTGAAAATATCTAAAATATTTGAGTAACTACTATCTATCTAAAATTGAGGGTCAGGATTTAACTCTTCATTTATAAATGTTGACTGGGTTCCCCATAAAAGAAGTCAGTAATTAATATTTCAAATTTTGCCTTTGCATGCAAACACTTTCCTTCCTAACTTCACTTATACTAAATTGGAAAGTGAGCTCCTACTGTATTTCATTGTCCCTCTTATGGGTCCAACAAGAAAAAGATAAACAGTAAAGGGCTCCAATAACTATCACGAAGTGAAATTCTCTCAGGAGATATGGAAGCCAAATAACAATTGAGATCTTTAACAGGTTCACATTTGTGATCTAAAATGTGGTCATGAATTCTGAAATTCAGAGAAATTGATGACAGTTATTTTTAGTTTCTTCTCACCCTCTCCCACCTGTCACTGCTACTAATATTCTACCTTTAGAAGCAGAAATAGCATCAAAACAAATATAATCTTAGATTACTTTTTGTACAATTAGAAATTATCAATTTCCCAGAGGTTACATATGTATAGTTTCAATAGTATAAAAGTCTTCATGACAGGTCTGATAGAACAGATTTTAAAAAATAAATAAAAAGAAATATCTAGGACTCCTAAGAAATAGGCACCTAAGAAATAGGCATAGAATGACTTAAATACCGTATTGATTCATCCAGCTGTTATCTGGGAATACATTTTTCTGGTTGTCAATTAACCAGMCTTTTTGCCTTTGCCTTTGTTCAGTGTCCTTTAATCAAATCTCAAGGGAAAGCACTTCCACCAGAGACAGGCAGTGAAAGATGAAACACATCCATCCATCGATAGTGTTGCACTGAACCCCTTTTGTAGTGGTTGGTTTGAAGGAAACGCTTAAACTAATAGCAGTAAAAGGAGACCACAAAATAATTWCTATTTCCAGAGTGGTTCTCAGATATATTTTTACTACTCAAATCTATAGTCCTAGCAGTTTTATTTAGTGCCATTGCTACTTTGTTCCTTTTTGTTAGCACCATTAMAATACCTAATGCAGATTAGGTGAAATTAGAATTTAGCACAACACCAGTTACAGAGCATTTTTGTAGTTGTGTTTTCCAGGTGAACTGGGTTCTTTGTCTTTATCAGTTTGAGATKCCTCACTAAGGTATTTCCAATATCAAAATCTGGCATTGAGTTTTTAAAAGCTCACCAAATGAGAGTTTTATTTACTGGAACACGGTAGAAAATGCAGTTGAAATGTTAAGACAAAAATAATTTCCTAGTGACAGATAAATAGAAATAGAGCCTTATTTACTAGAATCTGAAAGTGACAGAAGAATGAAGGTGCTGATCATTGGC